TAAAGTATTTTTTGCCTAGTTTTCTGCTCTGCACATCATGCTGGCTTGCTTAACGCAGCTTGTTTATACCAAAAGGGGTGCACCATAAGCAAAGAGGCAATTGAAGGGAATTCCGAATCTTGCACAGAAACAGGAGCGGCCAGGCCTATCTGTAGAATGGAGATAAGCAACAGAGGCCATCTAGGCCAAGATCACACATACAAACATACACACAAATTCCAAAACCTTAAGTGAAATCAGAGGGGGACATACTAGGCAGCCAGCTTCATCCCACTTGCTGGAATAATCCATCACGGAACATGAGAAATGATACCTTAAACAACACGACTCCAGCAGAGCGGGGATTTGTTCAGCGCAAGGGGAAAGCATAAGCAGCGTTTTCTGCCCTTGACACACGGAAGAACAGAAACACTGGCAAAGAGTCCAGGAAGGCAGCCAGAGGTGTGTCTTCTTCCTACAAAGGGGAGTGGAGGAGAGAGGAAGCCACCCAGACTTCAGCTACCACGTTACAGGTGGATGCAGTAATTCTCCAGTCAAATAGCAGCCATTATGGAAACTGCTCCTATTCCTGTACAAATTGAGCCGGGAGGGGAGGGGCGGTGGTAGCATCCCAAAATATGACGGGAGTCTTACTAGTCTTCAGTCTTAATAGCTAAGAGACACAATTAAAGGTTGTCCCAAGACAAGCAGGAATGCAGAGATTTACCCACTGCAATACTCTTCCCAACAACCTTTTGTTATTGTTGCTTTGACAGGGATTCTCTGCACATCTGAACAAGGTTACATCTTAGGGACTAGGTTCAAAGATTTAGCCATTCTTGGTTTCCCATTTTAGGGACTGTCACTACTGCACTCAAGGAACAGGAATTCTTTTTAAAATACATTCCCCAAAACACTCTCTTGCAAGAAGAAAAAAACCACCTCACGGAGAACGATTCTAGCCAGCCTTCTCTCAATCACACATCATTTTTCCATGGCCAAGGAGATACACAGCCCTCAGAACTTTTATCTCCATTTTCCATCCGACTGGCAGTCATCACAGAAGCAATATGATTCTGTGGGGAAAGTTGGTCTGTAATGGCTCCCCCAGCCCACCCCTGATCAAATTCAGAGTACAGGAAGTCCCCAGTTTAAGGACGAGTTCCATTCCCAAGGTCCGTCCTTAAGTCAAATGTGTACATAAGCCCGAACAGTATTATGGTATAATAATGTATAAGTAGTATTATGTAATGAACTCAAACCATTGTGTATTTAACTTGAATCACTGTGCACTTAACTTGAATTTTGCTTCAATAGGCTCCATTCTTAACTATGGGCCGTCCATAAACCGGGCATTCTTAACCCGGGGACTGCCTGTACATATGGCTTCCCTGACTTACAGATTCTCAATGCACATACAGAGAAAGGACTGAGTAACACACAACGGTCTGGACTTAGCCATAATTTAGTCAGTTATTTCCCAAAGCAGCTTCCAACACTGGATCAAGTGAGTTTAGAGCACAGATATTATGGGCTATACAGAAGTCACAGACTGAGAGCCCAGAGCTCATCTCTCTGTACAGTAACAAACTCTCTAACCAAATACCATTGGCTCTTCTGCTTCCAGAGCATTTCGCTGCCCTTGTGACCCATTCCACAGCAGCCTTGTAGTAACTGCTGGTGAGAAGGAAGGATCAACCTTTCCAGGACATGGAAGAAGATCAGAAAGGGAGGGGGGAAGAGAGGGAGAAAAAGGAAAGATTGATACTGCACCACAGATTCCAATACCTGAACAGAGGTTGGGAGTGACAAAGGACTTAGAGGTCCTCTGGCAGGGTATTCTATAATTTAGGACCATTTGGGACTTCAAGCTGCCAATTGGCACTGTTTGTTAGGAACATTTAGGAAGGCTATGATTTATGAACCTGGCTGGTTCTAGCTTCCATAACCAGCCTGACTCCATTGGTGAATAAGACCAGTCAAACACACAATACTATAGTCACAGGGAGAAAGATGGCACAGATCACAATCATCAGTTCTGTCTTCTTCCCAGCACATTCCATGTTCCAGCGAACTCAGGGCTAGGGCCAGAGAGGCACTCACTTAATTGTATTAGAGACTACCGGCAGACAAAGAGTCCTTCAGCAGCACAATGAGTGCCCAGCCTCCATGAGAAAGGGAGCATTGGCAACTATCAGTTTGTAGATACTGTTCACAACCCCTGGCGAACAAATAGCCTAGGGAACAACACGCTGTCCAGCCGGCTGTTCCCATCCTTGCTCGCTCTGCAGCTTCACAAGAGGCAGCCGAGTACAAGCACTCTCAGGTCCACTTCAGAAGCTAAGGTGTCATCTGTGCAGTACCAAGTGTCGGAACAGATGATTCTTCTGCAGCAGCAGGTGGCTTCACAGTTTCCTGTGGCACCTTGTCTGTTGGCACAGGGAGCTGGGGAGGAAGAAAAGAAGGGAGAGGACGATTCACAGCAGAATCCAACAAACAGTTCCTTGAAAGCAACACTGTTCATTTATGGAGATTTGGAGGGATGTTACAGATGGAGCTCAGTATCTTGCTCATCGTAGAAATCCTTTCCAGAAATCCACCCACCCAGCCACTTGCCTCTGGACTACCAGAAAACAGTGCTGGTGCCAAACCTGGGAGGGGATAATTTTCATTCTAAATACATCTGTGTTTTCCACACTTACCAAGCTTCGCTCTGGGAAGGCACTGCCACCTTCTGGGGCACCACTGGCTTCCTGGGCACTGCATTCCTCTGTGCTTCTCTCTTCTTGCGTTCTGGGCTCAGGCCCAGCACTGTTCCCTGAGATAGCACTCTCTTGAAGCAAGATGCCCCGTCTATCCAGCACACTATAAAGTAGAAGTGGGAGGTCAGGAAAAGTAAAGACACTTTTGAGAAGAAAGATCGGAGACAAGGATAGCTAAATGGATCCCATCTCAGACTCTCGTTATTTAGATATGCAGGAAGGGGCTTCCATCCCAGTCCCTCTGAACCGCATATAATCATCCTCAGGACTGCTTTATATACACAGAATAACATCTAGGTACAGACTGAACCATCACCTGGGAGGCAAAGGACCACACAGAACTTCGCAGCAGTTCTTCACAATGTTGCCATGGCTATAGGGATTCTGCACACGGTTTTTCCCTGTCCAGGAGCCTTTAATCTGAAAGAACAAGAACAGCAGCCTCCAAAAATACAGAACCAATGTTAGCACGGATCTACATGATGATATGCATCCAGATCCCAAATGAAAAGCATCTTTCAAGTTATTTTGGCTTCTTCCAATAGATCTCTCTTGGAACTTGGCACCTGCTGTTTTTCTAATTATTTTGTCCTAATGGAATGCCTTCCTCATCCACAGAAGAGTTTTACTCCCCCAGAGTCTGATACATCAGTCAGTGGCTCTTTACTTCTTGCAACTGAAAAGAAGCAACTGCCCAGTTGGAAATACAGGCTCTGTTCTGCCTAACAATTTGAGAAAGTTATCTCCAGAAGCCTTGCTGGAAAGAAGAACTGTGGAAGGAAGAAAAAAAAACCCACTGCAAATTGTAACAAAAGGACAAAAGGTAGAGATGGACTTCCTCTTCACTTCAATAAATGAAGATTTCTAAAAAAAAATCCACTACATGTGTTCTTTAGAAGGAAATCCAGTGGCTCCAATCCATTCAAGGGAGAATGGATTTTCTTTCAAGGAGCTTAGTCACTCCTGTCTAGGGGCAAGGCCAAAGCAGAGACTTCTATAAGAATGCCTAACTAACATTGCCAATAGGCAGCATTCTCAAGGAATGTGTGTTAAATACATACATACATGCATATATATAATTTACAGGAAAGGATGTGCCACTGGAAGTACTTACATCTTCATTCGTTGTCTGGTTCAGGGCTACCAGGAATGTGTGGAAGCCAGTTAAGCCCACCACAGACCAAAGTGTGAAAAAGCAGATCAAAACCTCCAGAGCCGTGAAAAGCTTAGTTAAGGAACACAAACTCCTTATGGAATCCTTAGCTCCTCCCAACACTATAGACATCCTACTCTATTCCCCACTTCACTGGGGAGCAGTGGATAATGATTTCTCCCCTATTTCTCTCTTCTAACAGGCAAGTTAAAAGCAGCTACAACAAGAAGAAAAGATATGTCCCTGGAGTTTCTTTCAGAGTATTCAAAAAGCCAATCTTCAGGGATTCTGTATGGAATGAAAACATAATGTATTTAGTCTGCAATTATTAACCACACCAAGAAAAGTAAAGACTTATTTCCCCCCACCCTTCCTTCTCTTCTAAGATGCCTGTCAAAGCTTTTGTAACACAGTGCAAGTCCCCCTCCTTACTACAACATACTCACTCAGGGCAACGTAGACAATATTGAAGGAGAAGATGTAGATGGTGAGAAGTGACAAAGAAAGGATGAAGAGGTAGAAATAACGGTAGTTCCTCTTTCCCACACAGTTTCCTACCCAGGGACAATGATGATCAAAACGTTCTGTAAGAAACAGAGAAGCTTGCTGCTTTTCTCTTTGACGCCATCACATAAACTTCAGCAAGATGCCAGCATGTCCAGAGTTCCACTAACATACCAAACCCACACTGCAATCCTTCTGGCTAACTATGAAACTGATTCATGCACCCGCTTTTGAGGTGGGAGGATTGTCAAAGTAGCAACCTTTGCCTTCAAAAACCACATAGCTTAAGGGCGCCTCTGTGATAGCAAGTATAACAACCTAAAAGAAAGCAGCTTTCAGATATTTTATGTATACAGTAAATTAAACCTACCATTAGACTATTATGAGTGTGGGGAATGCAGAGGGAACAAAGGCTAAAGAAACAGTGTGGCACAATGTCTCCTTTATCTAAAGCTGAAGATGATAACAAAACATAAGCTCCAATGCTCTGCTTTCAGGAACTACCATAATCTGATACAGGGAGGTTCCAAATCACAGCAGATGTAGTCTGGGTGATGGCTTCCTCAGCCTCAAAATTACAGACTGAGGGGCGCTGCTTTCATTTCACTGAAAGCAAACCACATTTTTTGCCTTTATAGTTAAAGACAGGTCTGAAGACTGGGGACTGCAGCTGTAGAAATCCTGTGTTCAGTGAGTGGAGTTCCCATGTCCCCAATTTTATTGCCCCTCCTAACAGTAGCAAGACTGCTCATTGCCAGAGAATGTCTACTTTCTGCAGAACAGCATACAGCAGCCAGCTCATGGTCCACCAGGAAAACCTACTTAGGTGCTTTTTCCCAGCCCCAAATACAGCCTTGAAGAGACTGGAGCCCAGCTCTATCACTCACCCACACAGTTATCACAAATACTGCAATGTGAGGCACGGGGTGGACGGAAGATCTTGCAGGTATAGCAGTACTTCAGCTTCACAATCTGGTTATTGATCTGGAAGTTCTTAATGCGGGGAGGTGGCCGTTGGCCGGGAGGCACAGTTCCATTGGTTGCCTCTAAAATGAAAGCAAACCATTCACTGCCTAAGCTTTGCCCATCTCTCTGAGTGGAGCAGGGGGGGAAGTATTCCACATCCTTTGGCTTTGCCACTTTCACTAATCACCACCAACGTACCTATTTCCATTTCAATGAAAGCTGCTTCATCAGGTAGGGCACGTGGAATAACCCCTGGGTCACTGAAGCTTGTCCGCAACAGGGTTGCCATTGCAAACAAAAAGAGAACTACTGCAAAGACAGGGATAGCTGGGGAGAGATGGATAGCAAGATACCGGCACCTAGGATAGGAGAGAATTCAGGGTCACTGAAATCAAACACAAAGACTTTTGTGCAACGACTAAAAAGGTTCTATAAAGGGCTCAAGGCAAGAATCCAAGCTCCATGGATTTCCATCATTTCACTACAGGCTACAGAAGGGACTTCTGGCAGCATTTTGTATTTTAAGAATCTCTTTTCTAAAAATATTTTTAACCTCCAATTATTTTTAAAAACAATACTTTTCAATCCCACATTTGTTGAAAGATCTTGGAAATAGCTCAGCAGCTTCTAGTGCAAGCTTAAAACTAAATCAAATTTGTATAATGACCTGCACTAATTTCTGGCTTCCACCTCCTATGGCATTTACTGACATGCTATGCTGGCATTGTTTAACTGCACCAGGGTGTAAAAGTAAACGTTTAAAGTATAAAACAAGCAAAGGCACTGGTACTTGTTTACACAGTATTTTGTATCTGATAATTGTTTGATATAAGTCCCGAAGACAAGATCCTTGTAGTTCAACATATAGGCTAGGCTTCACTTTCCATACTTGAGCTGTAACACAGTGATATACAGGGGACCCACAGGGAGTTATTAAAGCTAGACTTGCAGATGTGAAGGGGGGGGCATTGTGTAAGAAATTCTTTCATGGGAACAAATGCATTGTAGCATTCCTCTTTCAAATACTGGCCCCTCTACCCCCACTCGAGTTTCTTACACTACTGTTATATCACCACTGGAACTCCTAAACATAGGAAGTCGTCTCATCTAGCTCAGCCCTACCTATGCCAACCAATAGCAGCTCTGCAGGATTTCAGACAAAATTCTTTCCCAGGGCTATCTGTAAACGTAAAGCATGTCACTCATCCAGCAACTGACCAGGCCATGAATAAAACAGAACAGGAAGCAGAGATGTATAAAATGCGAACAAACCCCTTCTACCCCTACCTAAACAGCATTCCTGCCTACAGAAGCAAAATCTCCAAGGTATCCCAGAAATGGGTAAACTATACATCAAGCAGGAGTTTAAAAAAACTTGGTAGGTACCGCACATCTTCTGGAAGCATGTAGAAGAAATTAAACAAGAGGGAACGACCAATTCTATCTGCAGCAGCTGCCAACTAAAAGAGTCCCCTCTGGTGCAAGAAGAGGAAATGGGATAGCTGACAGTTGCTCTGCGGACTTTACTTTCCTGCTGGAGCCAGGAGAGAACCATTTCTGCATATAGCACAACCTAATATGTACTGTAGCTGACTCCATTTGTCTTCTCCTGCCCATCTTGTTATCTTCCCCTATTACTCCCAAGACACAATTACCGTGTCACAGAAAATAGGTTACACACCAGCCTGAATACTCACTTCTGTGCCAGTACACTCACATTCTGCACTCATACAGGCATACCTCGGAAATACTGCAGGTTCGGTTCCAGACCACTATAATAAAGCGAGTATCGCAATAAAGCGAGTCACAGATCTTTTGGTTTTCCAGTGCATATAAAAGTTATGTTTACATTATACTGTAGTCTGTTAAGTGTGCAATAGCATTATGTCTAAAAAAACAATGTACATACCTTAATTAAAAAATACTTTATGGCTAAAAAATGCTAATCATCCTCTGATAGACTTGCTCAATGCAGGGTTGCCACAAACCTTCAATTTGTAAAAAAAAAACAAAAAACCACAGTATCTGCAAAGCACAATAAAGCAAAGTGCAATAAAACAAGGTATGCCTACATACAAGTATGTCTAAATGCTTATTTTACCCAAATAATTATTCTTCTAGGGAGGTGGCTTCTACAATTATGTGCCTGCTTTGCAAATTACTAAAAAAAAAAAAAAAAAAAGAGTAGTAATGATGGGGGGGAAAAGGCTCACACAGAAATTGGACTTAAAAGAGTCACAGAAAACAATCCCTGAAAAAGTAACAGCAGGTCAGCATCGTATAAAAGGCCACCACCACTGGAAGCACCACTTGACTTCCCCTTTAGTCTATCAAATGTGGCCCTGAGCGCACTGGTATACTTGTAAATGGAAAAATAAATACTTTGCACACAAAATGCTTCAATACCTCCAAATGTTCTTAGAGTAGAAAAGGTATTTTTATCAAGGTATTTTTTCAAGTAATCATAGATAAGACTGTTGCCATCTTTCAGGACCATGGTACAATGTTTTGCTAGTCTTATTTTTCAAAAAGTATTCTTAAAATTGATTAGCTTTGTTTTGAACAAACAGTAGTTGCAGGCTCTCCCAATCTGGAGTGCTGCACCACAACTTTTGCTTTGTTAAAAAGAGTGGTAATTTTAAGCACATTCTTTAAAAGGCAAGAATAGAGTAATATGAAATATTACCCAGAATTTAGCTATTTTAATCTGTGGAATTCAGAACCTACAGGTAGTCCTCATTTAGTGACCAGAATTGGGACCAGCAACTCAGCCATTAAGCGAAGCAGTCGCTAAGTGAAACTGACTGTGGTTACAATCTTCAGCTTTCCTTTGCTTCAGAGACCTGTGAAGGTTGTAAATGTGAAGATTGATCATAAAGTTATCTTTCACCATCATAGTAACTGTGAATGGTCACTAAACGAGGCAGTTGCTAAACAAGGACTACTTGTAGTTCTTTCCTAGTAACTGTGAATGGTCACTAAACGAGGCAGTTGCTAAACAAGGACTACTTGTAGTTCTTTCCTAGTAACTGTGAATGGTCACTAAACGAGGCAGTTGCTAAACAAGGACTACTTGTAGTTCTTTCCATTAAAAATCTATTCCAGCACCAACATTCCCCCAACATTACAGCTTTACTACACAACAGAGTTTGGCATTCCAAATACTCAGAAGCTTGTATAATCACTCATTGAATATGCTATTTTTCACTGACTAAAATTAAGCTTTCAGGATAAAGAAAGACCTTTGTGGCTAGGTGGATCAGGTATACCAGGCAGCTGATCTCATATTTCTATCAAAACAATCAGACATACTTAATGAGTTAAAATATCCTCATAATAAATAATAAAAGGAATAATGAGAGCAAGAATTTCTGGCTCATGGGTTATTTTATATATTTAGCTGTACCGTAGCCCAATTTAGAGGGCTTCCAAACAGGTCATCCCCATCCACCTCTCCTATATTGGGTATTCCATGATAAACAGATACATGCCACAATAAAAATGTCTGCACCCCAAGCAACATATACATTTCAGTATCAAATTGGCAACTACGCCCCTTGGAGAAAAGGCACATCCCCAATAATAGTGTTATATGCCAACATTTTTATCTGGTTGATCTAGAAGCGCTGGCAGGAAGTATATTCAAATGTAAACAACATTTAAGCATTCGTGGAAATAAATTCACATGACTTAGATAAATTTATTTATAGTACAATCAAGTTGTTTTGACAACATCTGCTTTTTTAAAGAAATGAACCACCTATCCAACTCTGAAAGTCAAAAATATTGCTAGGGTAAAAGACCACACAGCTCAAATAGTACAGTAGCCCAAATGAATCACAGTGGGGTTTTTTTTGAATTCCTCCTACAGCTGTCACCACTTTTGGAAGAAAGGTTCAGATGCTGAACATTCTGGATCTTTTTCAAAACTCTATGTGAATCAGAAGCAAAACGAGTTTACGTATTTTGTTTTGGAAGTGACACAATGATCCAATCAACCTTGTCTCACATGCTAAACACACATAATAAAATCAACATTAAGTTGCTATATACTTTTACTCTGAATTTATACAGTAGTCCTTGATGTTACCCTTCACCATGTCCTTTCTCACCATGTCCTTTCTCATCCTGTTCTCATATCTGCTTAAAGCGGAGAGTGCCAGGATCTTATTCAAACTTTAACAAACACAAGCAAAACTACTAGCAAGATTCAAAGTCCTCTTTCTTTATTTAGAAACATTCCCTAGCATCACAGCTGATCAGAACAGCATGGTCTTTTCAGATTTGCAAGAAGAAATTAGACAGGTAGAGTGGAGAACAGATTGAAGGTTCACACAGAGTAAATAATATGAAGATTACAAACTTTCATTTTCTATAATTGATTATATGATTAAAATAACCTTCTTAAAAGTTCACACGTAGCAATCTTTTCCATATTGTCTTTTCATACAATATGATACGTCTTCCCAGTTTTCAAGCATAACCTTTCACATATTGGCATAGCTATTTATTTCTATCCTGGCAAATAGAAGGGGTAGAAATGGAAGCAGTAACAGACTTCATTTATTTGGGCTCCAAGATCACCGCAGACGGAGACTGCAGCCATGAAATTAAAAGACGCTTGCTCCTTGGGAGGAAAGCTATGGCAAGCCTAGATAGCATATTAAAAAGCAGAGACGTCACCTTGCCGACAAAGATCCGCATAGTCAAAGCTATGGTTTTTCCAGTAGTAATGTATGGCTGTGAGAGCTGGACCATAAAAAAGGCCGAGCGCCGAAGAATTGATGCCTTTGAACTGTGGTGCTGGAGAAGACTCTTGAGAGTCCCCTGGACTGCTAGGAGGTCAAACCAGTCAATCTTAAAGGAAATCAACCCTGATTGCTCATTGGAAGGATCGATAATGAAGCTCAAGCTCAGATATTTTGGTCACCTAATGCGAAGAGAGATCTCTTTGGAGAAGACCCTGATGCTGGGAAAGATTGAAGGCAAAAGGAGAAGAGGACGGCAGAGGATGAGATGGTTAGATAGCATCACTGAAGCAATGAGCATGAAAGTGAGCAAACTCAGGGAGGCAGTGAAGGACAGGAAGGCCTGGCGCAATATGGTTCATGGGGTTACGAAGAGTCGGACACGACTTAACAACAATTTATTTCTAATATTTTGTATCATCAATCAGGCAGATACATATAAAGCGCTGGGGAAGAGCTCTGGTTACTTCCCACTTCCTGTTAGTGCTGATTCTCGCCAAAGTACAGACTGGGGTGATATTTTGCCTAAATTTCTCCATGAAAGATGCTAAATCATACGATTTATGGAATAGTCCTATACATCCACTGTTGTATCACATTCTCTTTCTAACCTGGGAGCAGCTTACTAATCAACACAGGTAGTCCCCGGTTTAAAAACAAGTTCCATTCCCAAGGTCTGTCCTTAAATTGAATTGTACGTAAGCTGGAACAGTATTATTGTATAATACTGTATAAGTAGCATTGTGTAATTAACTCGAATCATTGTGTATTTAACTTGAATCATTGTGTATTTAACTCGAATTTTGCTACAACAAGCTCCATTCTTAACTATAGGTCATCTGTAACCCAGGCGTTCTTAATCCAGGGACTACCTGTACTATGACAGTTCTGATATTTGTCACTCTTGACCCAAGGTGGAAGAGCAGTTTCTAAACATATTACCATAGGAAAATACCAATATGGTATAGGGACTAATATAAGAAAAGTGGTAGGGAGATTCAGGTTCAGTTTCCACGTCTGATGCCACACTTCTCCAACTTGGGCATCTGAAGGGTGCCCAGGATGAGGACAGCTCTTTTTGTCTAATCTACCTTCTATGATTTTGCAAGAATAAATAAAGGGAATGAGGAGAGAGAATCATGTATCACCCTGAGCTCCTTGGAGAAAAATCTGCATATAAATGTAGCTTATTCAGAGCTGAAGAACTGTTTCTGAAATTTTCTCAAAGGCAGAATTTGAAGGATCTCTCTGCTATCCAGTTAACACTGTTTAATTAATACAGCAGTATTAATTTATTAAGATAACGTGCCTTCCCCCCAAGACTTTAGACAACTCACAAGACAAAAGCATAAGCTACCATAAAAGACAAATAGTAAAATCAATAAATCAAAGCACATCACATAGCACCTAAGCCACAGAATAATTCTTCCATAGGTTGACTGCTTCCTTCTGCCCCCAAAAGCCACAAATCATGCATCATCAGTTCTTGAGCCTGGCCTTCCTCACTGCAATTTCCAGCTGTTGTTCCAAGCAGAAGTGGAGTGTCCAAAAGAACCTCCAAGTCCTACACCTGCTCTTTATAGACACAGCCACCCCATCCAGGGCTAAACAAGGAAGAATTCTGAGTAAATTCTGAGTTTATAGCAGAAGTTAAACTAAATGGCCAAATGCTGGGTCACAAGATTCAATTTTCAAGGATCAGAAGCAGACCAATCTGCCCCCTCTCTCACCAGCAACTGCTTGAATGCTTACCAAAGTGAGTTGAAGGAATGTGAGTGCCAACATACAATTTTTTGTGCAACAAGATTGATCACTCTATTATCCTCAGGAATGCAACACTCATAAAACCCTAAGGAACCCATTACAAATGTGAAGTAGCCAAGGTTGATAAGAGTGATGCAGAGTCACTAAATGAGATGGAGGTAGACAATGCCAGAATCACGATATACAGGATTGTTTTTGGATATACACACCAAGCACCCAGAGGATCATAAATCCTCTTCATCTTCAACAAGCTAGCTTATTACAGAATATTAGGACTTCCTTTCAAATAAGCACATATACCATCATATTGTAATAACTATAGAAAAGCTATATAGAAAAAAGACCCAATTTCAAATTTAAGTCAGAACTTAAGCTTCCTTATGTGATATCTTCTGCTTAGAATAAGTTTAGCTTACAGCACATCCTGCTCTGAAGTCATTTGCCAAGTATTTGCTGTATAAAATACTGTATTCAGGTTAAAGTTACACTTAGAAGTCTTCATACACACATTTAGGTCAAGAAATCATATTGCAAGTCCTACCTTGACATAATTTTAAATTCAATTCATATGAAATTCAACACACTAGGTTTTTTACAATAAAATGCACATTTTCAAAAGGACTAATTTCTGTTTCAGCAGTAAATTATTTATTTATAAAGAAGACGTTTAGCTGCCCTATAGATAAGTTTATGGTGGCAAAGTCAACATCCATATAAATTTTAAAAATGAACAAATCAAAAGTATTGATCAGTCCAAAGCAACAGGTGAAAATAGGCATGGCAGGATGGTCTAAAAATACTAGAGGTAAATCTTCTTTAAAAAGTATACAGAGCTTTTGGTAGAACCCTCTAAACAATTGTTCTACAACAGAGGCTGTGGGAGAAGACACTACTGAAAAGGCCTTTTTCTAACTGCACCTGTGGACTTCTGATGTGCCCAGAGCTTTAACAGAAAACATGAGAAAAGGTACTCATTAGATACTGTACCTCCAAGGTATGAAGAGATGGGGACAGTGCCATACATGCCAGTTTCCTCTGGTGCCCACATTCTTTCATACCAGCATTTAGTTCCCAAAGTTAATCATGAGCCAGTGAAGATAGTAGCCCTCCAGTATAACGTAACTAGAATGGACCATCTTCAAGGGCAATTTCATATACAATGCATGGTAATAATCAAAATAGAGATTATTAACCATGCATCATTGCAATCAAGCTGTTTGTATTAGGGATCAGCCCTGAAACATCTGGAACCACTTCCTGTTCCAGAACATTTACTACTAGAAAAATGCTAGATCACCTCCAGAACAGCTGTCTTTGCATAGTCCAGAAGATTAGAACATTCCAAATTTCCCAGAAACAACCAGTCTCTGGAGATGGAATATTTTGCATATCTACATTTTCTATCCATATACAGCAATAGCTGCTATCCTAATTAAAAGATGTTGCATTCCATAATTAACTATGTCTCTGTGGCAAACTGGATCTATAAGCAATCTCCCTAACCCTACCTATAAACTTGTATAACTAAACAAACACTGAATATTACACACCTATCCATACAAGCCATCTAATAACAATTCCTCCACCTTGTCTGGCCCATATCTAGTTTGTTATCACAGCAAGGTATTGGTTAAGCACTTACACTGCCTTATCTGAATCTAATCAAGAAAATATGCATATCATGGGCATACTGATGGTACTACACTCTAAGTAATTTCATACACTGTATATATTTATAGTGAAACCATTATATTCTTAGTGATTTCAGTAATAATTAAAAGTATGAGAAATAACATGGATGTCCTACCATGATTTAGAGAGCTTATCACAAGATTGCTTTTATTTCAACTCCCCCTCTTCTGCAAAAATTGACCCCTGAGTATGCTTGCTTTTATACAATAAGTATTAATCCACATATATCAGAATCCCTCTCCAGAAATAGTCTTCCTTTGACCAAGTTATAAACCTGAGCATTCAGTGAGGGAAGTGCATAAGTTTCAGAAAAAGACACATTAGCAGAGTGTTTCTCAACCTTAGCAACTTTAAGATATGTGGACTTCAACTAGCTGGGGAATTCTGGGAGTTGAAGTCCACATATCTTAAAGTTGCTAAGGTTGAGAAACACTGCATTAGCATATGGGCCATTCATAACTGAGCAGTTCCGAAAAGGCTCCCAGAAATTATGCTACAAGCATTATTGGCAGTAGACAACATCTTTTGATTATGCCATTTCCTAATTTATATTGTAATCCATCCTTATCAGAACATCCTCTCAAAGGTGATTCACATTCTGGGAAAGGAAGCATTCCAGTCAGTAACAAACCCTGCCCAATCCACAATAGGAGTCACATTCCTCTAACAAGCCAAATTCATCCAGTCTCTACCCTTCAAATATCTTTGAAACCTGACACAGTACTCCATACTGGTAAAGGATACAGGGATTTATAGGTCTAGAGTAGCTCCCCTTTTCTTCACTATTTACGTGGGATTAAAGCAAAGCATTACTCTATTAAATTCCCTTGTTTGTTCACCTCTTTCAAATAAGAAACCTCGAGAATGAAAACAAACCTGAATTTAAAGCAGAGTACCTTGGAAAATTATTTCAAGATGGAATTCTTGACATCATTTAGGAAGACTTTTTAAAAAAATAAATAACAGATATCAGTTGTTGTTATGTTTTACCCTGACAAAAGTCTTGGAAGAATGTACTGGTGGGGGAAAAAAGGAGGCAACTTTCATAGCATCATCTAAAGGGATCAAGAGAAAAAACATACCCATCTCCACAAGCAGCCAAATGGGCTGTAGCGTACAAGAATGTGGGCTGTAAATGAACTCCAGCTTTGTAAACAAAACAAACAAACAAACCAATCATTATGAACTTACTCAAAAGCAAAGAAGAGAGCACATGTCCCCACAATGAGGAAGAGTGTCAAATAGAAGATGCCTTTCTGACGGGCCATCATAATGCGCCCGTCGCAACAAAATGTGTTCCTTCCTGGCAGCTTCTCCCATTTCCGCATCACCTTCTTTCTTGCTATCATCACAGACATGGCTGCACCTTCACAGAAGGCAGGATAACTCGGTAATGGCCCGTCTCCACTCTGGCCACCGGGAAGCACACACCATCCTCAGCAATCCAGCCTCAGCCCCTGGAAAGGTAAGCAACAGAGGAAAGGTCAATGCAACACCTGACAAGACACTTAGATTAGGAAATTGTCCAAGCCATTATTATTGGGAGCAAATCCTTCTTAGCAAACCCACATCCTACTTTTAGCTTTAGTCACCATGCAACATTTCATAAGCAAGAGAAATGCCTGACAAACCCAACAAGAAGGAAAGAGTATGTGCCACGATTCTTGGTATGAAAGAAACCTGCTTGATCCAGTACTGTATTGGATAATCGATCATGACTTCCTTTGGCAAATGAGACTAGTTTCAAAAAATCCAAACTCACTTGGACTTCGCTGCATTCCTGACAAACCTTTCTTCTTATTGAGAGGAAAACAGACTCTAGGAGCTGCAGCATTTTACGTAAGCTTTGTTTTCCTCCGGATGACATGTCAAACTGTGCTACACAGAGTAAAGCCTTATCCAATCAAAATAACATTTCATCACTTACATTCCATTTGTAACCACAGAATGCTGCATGGATTTCCGGGCACTCATCATGAAGTTAACACCCTGCATCGCAGAGTACTCTCTAGCACGCAGCCTTTGGACCAAGCCCAGACGTCTGGCACAGCATAAAAGATCGCTGGCCTTAGTACTTAACTCCAGAATCCTCCAATGACAAAACCCACCTGCTTCCTACGGAGTCTAGTTCCAGAGATGTTAATAATCAACTCCCCTGTCTCTTTCTGCCCCACCTTTTCCCCTGCTGCTCAAGCTACCCAAACCAACAACGAGAAGCTAGCATTTAAAAACAAACCACCCTTTCTCGCTTTGGTTTCGCAAAGTCTCAACAGCCCACAGCACCCTGACTACCCAACCAAGACCCTGAGCGGATTGGCAAGTTGCTCGCAAAGGGGGCTGCCCCAGACCCTCTGAAATTCGGAGATGAGGCTCAAAACAACTTGGCTCTCCTCGGAAACATGCGCGAGACCACCTTTTGTGCTTGGCTCAGCAACCCTTCAAGGAAAACGGGGAGGAGGACTCTCCCATTTTAACGCGCGACAAAGGGCACGGAGAGTGAGTGGAGAGAAACATAGTCCACCGGTTAAGACGAAATGAAAAGCTGG